TATATATATTTATATATAATACACACATATATATTTATATAGGGTGATGCTTGTACACACCTAAGTTGGAATCTGGCTGTAGACCGAATACATCACCCCACCGGCTGAAGTAAATGCAATGAATATACACACATTCAAAGGATCGAGTACAACCCACTCTACACAACACAACACGGCTCATGTGCATGCATCACCTGTGTACAGGTCAATACGACAAGGCAATACCTGATCATATTCAGCCGGCGATGGGCGGAGAGTGCGGGCACGAGTGGCCGTTTCACACACGCTATCTGTGGAAGGACTATCTGCAAGACGAAAGATTACAGGTAGGTAGATACAAGCATACTATGTGAGCTGTTACTGTGAGTGGTAGGTAGATATAAGCATACTATGTTAGTTGTTACTGTAAGTGGTAGGTAGATATAGGCATACTATGTTAGTTGTTACTGGAAATAGGTACTTATACGTACCGTGTCACTTCAGATTCTTGGGTGCTGGACATGCTCTCACGCCAATGCACCACAACCACACTCACACCCATTAGCCTATATGGCATGGTCTATATGACAGAAAGTGTATGGATGCGTAGGTGTACACTTGTGGTAGCATTCCACCCAGACACACAGAACAGTTCATGTGGACTAGTGGAATGGTAACACCACAGAGACACGGATAGCACATGTGGACTAGTGCAATGATGTATCCACACAGTGCCGTGGTTGCTCTTCCCACCCTTATTGTCAGCCGTTTTCTCGTATGTAGAGTATTGCCCATGATGAAAGTATGTGCTTATGGACTCATGAACATAAAACATCTACATGCTTCATTAGATGCTTTAGGCTTTCTATCGCATTTCAAGGCCAATATTACGAGGGCTGTGTTTTGTTGTCGGTTGGCACAATTCAGCGGTGGAGGTGCACTCCATCTGGTGTTGTGTAGTCATCTGTTGTCGCATGTTACAGCTAGCCGTGCAATCTGTATATGTATGTGACACGCCTATGTATGCTCCTACCTACACGCCTATGTATGTATGCTACCCTCAGTCAATGGGTGGTCTTCTCTTATCTTCTTATCTACACGCCTATGTATACTACCCCCAGACAATGGATGGTCTTCTCTTACCTTCTTACCTACACGCCTATGTATGCTACCCCAAGTCAATGGATGGTCTTCTCTTACCTTCTTACCTACACGCTGCTCAGATATTTCCGGTGGATAGGCTGCGTAACACGTGGGTGCATCATATCGGTGACAGTATCGATCGCTACATGTTTGAGCTCACTCTTAAGTATGTGCTGGATGCTGAGCTGAAGGAGCTTGGCAGCGTGTTGCCGGTATGGCGTGTGGGTTGGGTACAGTTCAGGTGCCATGGTGGTACACGCGTGTGTTGGGTGGTGTGCATACAGAGGTGTAGTCTTGGCCCATATTTCCTTGTAGGTGCAGTTTTGTCTCATATTTCGTTGTAAGTGCGGTCTTGTCCCCTATTTCTTTGCAGGTGCATTTTTGGCCCATATTTATTTGCAGGTGCAGTCTCGGCCCCATATACCTCTGCAGGTGCTGTGGTGGCGTATTCCTGTTGAGTACGTGTTTGCGGCGTGGATGCGTGACGACTAATGCACACACTGACGTGAAGTCTTCTCTCATACTGTCTTTGCGGATGTGCAGTCAACGCATACCGTTCCAAACTTTCGAACTGAGTCCAGTTGGGGTTTATGTGTGGGGTACAGTCGAGCAAACTAGGTCACGTATAGCCTTTGAGGCTTACTCGCCTTAATATTTTTTTTGGTGGCCGAAGCTATGCAAGGCTTCACCACACAGTAAGTAGTTGTATGTCGTCGTATGTAGTAATAGTATGTAGTTGTAGCATGTAGTTGTATGTCGTTATCGTATGTAGTTATTACATGTAGATGCAGTATGTAGTTTAATGTCGTTATTTTGTATGTAGTTATAGTATGTAGTTGTAGTATGTATTTGTATGTCGTTGTCGTATGTAGTTATAGTATGTAGTTGTAGTATGTAGTTAAAGTCGTTGTTGTCTGTAGCTATAGTATGTAGCTGTAGTATGTAATTGTATGCCGTTGTCGTATGTAGTTATAGTGGGTAGCTGTATGTCGTTGTCGTATGTTGTTATAGTATGTAGTTGTAGTATGTAGGTGTTTGTAGTTATAGTATGTAGTTGTATGTCGTTGTCGTATGATGCTGTTGGCCAGTGTTGTGTTGAATAAAGCTATCACTCTGTAGAGCCCATGGGGCTGAGTGTGCCATTAAACCAGCAGTGTTTGTCATGTCACATTGTGCGTGGGTTGTATCATCGTCAGGGCTACCAGTCGTTTACATCTACCTACCATTGTGCTTGTTAGCGTATGTATCAAAATATAAACCATGTAATAAACCTGAACTAGATTCCTGGTGTGTGCCTTCGCGCGTCACAGACCCCTTCTGACACGTACCGTGCACGGGTCGAAGGTATATCACTGTCCCTAGGTCACACGGTGAGCCTTGTTGAGGCCCTTTATCAGACCCCTGTATCCCACACTAACACCCCAATTGCACCCCCCCACACACACACCCCCATCCCAGATGCGCTATCTGAACCCCCAGAATGCCGACCCTGCCAAACGGTTTGTGCATGTGCTCACGGTGTATCACTGGCCCACGGCCAATGTCACCATATCGTACAATGCGATGACCAGTGCGGTCCACATTAAAGGCTATCAGATGTTTGACGACACCGATACCAACGCCGCGCCCGAGTATCCCGGCAAGGTTGTTAGCGTTGCGGTTGGGTTGTAACGGGGGTCTGTCGTAGGGTTGTCGGGTTTGTAGGGTTGTAGGGTTTCTGGTGAGGAACATATACCTTGGAGGTCAAGGATGGTGTATAGCGTTTATACATCCAAGGTTGTGTCACGCTGAATAGAGTGTGATGCGTTCCGTCATCCAAGGCTGTGTCACGCTGAATAGAGTGTGGTGCGTTCCGTGAGAGTGACCTCTGATTTGTCCGGCTGGTTGGTCTGTCTGAGTTTGCTGTAGTGTTGGGGTGTCGTTCAGTGTAGTGTCGCGTCTTTCGAGCGAGCTGAGACGATCTGTGGCGGCTCAGTGTTTGGATTGTGAGTAGTCTGTGGTAGGGTTGTAGGGTTATATGTAATTCATGGGACGATTGTGGTTGGCTGGTTGGTTAATTGGTTTGTGATTGTGTGGATGGCATTTCTGGAGTGTGATTGCATGTGATCTCTCATTAGAGTTATGTTATCCGTCAATCATGCTATCAGTTTTAGCGCTCGTTTGCGTTCAGGAAAACATATCTGCCCACCATCTTTATCGCGGCTGTGTTGATTTAGATGACTGTTATCAAGGCTGTGTTGATTTAGATGAATAGTCTAGATGTTATCACGGCTGTGTTGATTTAGATGAATAGTCTAGATGTTATTACGGCTGTGTTGTTACAAATGAATAGTCTAGATGTTATTATGCATGATTAATTTAAACGTAATGCCTCCCGTGCCAATTTCTCTCAAGCCGCTTGTTTTCTACTCGTATTTAGTCAGCATGAGTTCTACTTAGGTTCTTGGTATGACAGGAGCTATATGTACCAACATTCATATATATATATATATATATACATATATATGTATATTTATATGTTTATATACATATATATATATATATATATAGTAATTAATTAAACAACAACACACACACACACACACACAACACACACACACACATATATATAGTATATATAGTATACTAGTTATAT